TTCTTGCTATATTCACATACATGTTCCTTCTTCTTAGTTGGACCCTTTGGCTTTATTCCAACATGTGCAAAGTGTTCCGTAGGTGGACTCTGTAGCAAAACTTGCCACCTACTCTCCTCACTACTCATAATAGCATATGCCTGAGCAAGAGTAACCTCATCTTTGGATAGAATATTCTGCCTAATGATGTCAAACTCAGGGTTGAGTCCAATAAGAAATTCAAAAACCCTGTTTTTTTCCACCAACTTCCTAAACATTTATTCATCATTCTTACTCTCCCATACAACTGTTTCTTTCCACCAACTTCCTAAACATTTATTCATCATTCTTATTCTCCCATACAACTGTCTTTATAACATTAATTTCCTGTCATAAGGATTTCAATATAGAATACTAGATTGCTACACTTTTCTCTTCCTGTCTTAGGTTCTTCACATCACTTTTCAGCTTGTAGACTAGCCACATTCAACTTCTATGAATAAGTTTTAGTAATACTGTCCCAGAGATAGTGCTGACTTATATGAGGCTGCATAGAATTGACCAACCATCCTATAACATTATAGTTCTCTTGCATCCATTTCTCAAATTCAAGGTCTATCTCTTCGAGTTTCACTTTACTGCCTGTGAAGTATCCTAATTATCCTCTACTATAGACATAAATCCTTATAGACTGTGCCCAAGCAAGATAATTTGTCCCATCTAGCTTGATTGTGGTCACACCAGTCAAAATGGAATCTATCGAGCCAAGCCCAGAAATCAGCACCTACTTGAATTCACTTACGTATTGTTCCATTAATCAAATGAAAATAAAAAAATCAGAAATTTGGTCTTTATAAACTTACTTGATGTCAAACCAGTACCCAGGTGCTCGAAAACTAGGGTTTCACTGCGTTCGGCTATTGGGGAGAAAGAGAGAAGATGCAACAGCTCCTACCAGAGCTTCCCAATCTCTTCCAAATCTGAACCGCCCTCTTTTAGAAGTCAAAAGACACCTCGTAAGCACAGAGCGCCACACCCAAAGCTTCACTTTTGCCTGTAACTTCAAAAATTTCTAATTGGCTAAGGTTTTGGGCAAAAATAGTACAACACCACTTCTTAGCAATATCCAGCCAAATTTAAACTCTCCAAACCCTCTACCAACTAGGCAAAAGATCCTCTGAACTATAGAGAACCTATCTCTCCATACATTCTCTTAATCGAAGGGTGTATGGGAAAAGAGAAGGAAGAAAAAAATGAAGAAAGAAACTTGCACTGATACCAAGATGTAAATCAGTCCCTTAAAATTGATGTAAACTTGGAAAAATTAGAGAAAAAAAGTGGAAGAAAAGAAGAGAACAGCAGTACAAGAGAAAGAAGATGGAGAAAAGAGGAGGAAGAAGAAGAAGAGTTCGAATATCTCTTCCCTCCCGTCTCTAATCCTTTTTACTAAACTTTAATCTTAACATAATTACAAGTATACCCTTAAATGGGTGGCCAGTTAGGCAATAACATAAGGAGAACTAGCAAAAAGAAATAACAAGCCCATTAAGATAGGCCCATTAGCTAACAGATAAATAAAACATACTACAAGAAAAGATACTAGGCCTCATTCGGCCCAGTCTATTTACAAAAAGTAACTTTTTCTTTCAAAAAATTACTTTTTTAAATTAAATTGAGAATAGAACATATACAGTTATGCTAAACAACCCATGTTTAGGGTGTCATACACCTAGCCCTCAAGCAATTAGTCACATTACAATTGAGCCCAATACAATCTTCCCTGTTCAAACCATGTTTTTCCAAAGCATCAGCCATACCATGGGTTGACTTTTGGACCCAACAAAGTATACAATTTAAATCCTTTGCCTACTATCTTATGCCTTGTACTACTAGAACCCTTGATTGTTCTTTAGCCAACCCACCACCACTTTTGAATTCTCTTTCACAATATTTCTTAGATTCAACCACTTACGAATTCCTAGCCCTAGTATTACAACCAGAAATTCAGCTCTCAATGAGTCTCCATATCCAACTGTTCCTAAATRTAAAGCTAATAGAATGCCATTATGGTCCCTAAGTATTCCACCTATCCTTGACAATCATGGATTTCCTAAACAAAAACCTTCAAAGTTTAACTTTGTGTGGTTGGGCCTAGGTGGGGACAACTCTGACTGCAACAATGCCCTAGAGGTCGACGAAGAAGCTATCTAATACCACCTTCTAGATAGTTGATGATTCATGAAGAAATTATAGTTAGTTGAGACATAGATAGATAAGAACCTATAGTCCATAGAGAATGTGGTAACAACTTCCTTCCAAAGATCAGACCAATCGGATCCTCCTAAAGAGAGAGAGAGAGACCTACACATGATTAGAATAGAAGGTACATAATGGAGGAGAAGGCACATTACCCCAATCAACTTAGTCCAGAATTTGAAGAAGTTGTAATCTTCTACGATTAGAAGTTGGGTGAACTGCAAATGGTGGTTCCTTGTGATCATTTTGCAATCATAGGAGTTGGGTGAACTGCAAATGAAAGGAAGATTAGACATACCTCTCTGGAAATAAAGACAGATCGATGGATTTAGATCTCTTTTCCCATGAAGGAAGCAACCTGAAATTGAAAAGAAAATCAATATAAGAGTTCAACTTCAACGATCGAAATGAGAATTTCGATATCTCATAGAATGCTAATAGTTAGATTTAAGGGCCAATTTGGTTCATAGAAATAGGGGTCTAGAATTGGAATCAAATTGTGCCAATTATTTGGTTGGGATGGAATCGGAATCCCATTCCCATTCCTAGTGGAATGGATTCCCTTGTTTGAGGGAATGGCCATTCCCCTTCCTTAGAAATGAAGTAACATTTCAATTGATTCCAAATCCCATTATAATTCTTATCTTAACCAAACCAACTATAGAATTAGACCATTCTAATTCCAATTGATTCCAATTCCAACTACGAACCAAATGGACCTACGTATCTATTTATTTTTTGAAGGTTAAAGGTCTACCAGCAGAGTGCCAGTGACCAAAATTCATTAATAGAAGTTATAGAACTGCTCGGAATTACAATCCATCAATGAATTTTCCAATAAAATGGGTGGAGGGGAAGACCAAGTGTAAGACTGAACAAGGTTGAGTGCATGTTGGCCAAATTAAAAGATGGGCCACCTTGTTACAAGAACGAGAGGACCAACAAACCGAGTAGTGAGGGATTTGCAGCATAAGGAGTTTGCAATCTGAAATAGCATGTCTAATTCACCAAGGAGGAGAAGAATCAACTTCGAACAAACTCGAAATAATAGTTTGGCAATCACCCTCAATAACGATTGATGAAACACCAAGATCTATAGCAAACTAAATAGTAGCAAGAGCTGTCTTGGCTTCTACTTCCAAAGGAGAATCCAGAGGAATTTTAGATGCTCTACTATAACAAAAACACCCACTTGAGTCTCAAACTAAGAGACCAACACCCCCAGTAGAAGAATTTAGTGCCCCATGCATCAAAGTTTAACTTGAGAAAAGGAGTAGGAGGTTTGCTCCAACCAATTTGTGACTGAATTGGATTTGCAAATGACTGGATTATTGACAATATATTAAGATGGGAAAATAATTCATCTATCTGAGAATGGGCCACCAAGACCACAGATAGAGGATCAAATGTAACATGTTCAAAGATCACCTTGCACCTCTCTTCCAAATATTCCACATAATTATTGCTCCTTGTGCTAACACTAAAATGTGAGATGTGTCCAAAGGGTTGTCCATTTTAGACCAAAGAAGAAGCCAATTATGAAGAGGAACCCTCTGAGTCATTGGACATCCAAAGAACGAGTGACCGATAAGTAGGGTTTAAATGGATCAAATTCGAATTGGATCAAACAATATTCGAATTCGAATCCGATTAATAAGTTTGATACTCGAATTTGATTTGATATCTGATAGATTTTAAAAATTAATATTCAAATTCGAATCTGATTAAATATTCAAATATTCAAATCCAAGTGGTGGATTAGTGATTCAATTGTCCATATCAAATGGATCAACACATGATGTTATAATTAAATAATAAAATACACAAAATTATAGAAAAAATGTAGATAAACTCAAGTACATTATATGTTATTATATATTCATCATATAAAAAAGTGTGATAAATGAGAATTATTTTCATTAATGATGGAAATGAAATAAAAATTAAGAAAAAAAGCATTAATGTCTAACACATGACTCAACTAACCATGTCAAATGATTCCACGATTTAATTAGCTAGGCCACCGTGGGCAATGGTTTGGTGGTAAATGAACCTACAATCTTGAATTGGGTGGTCGGCTAATCAATCTAATAAATTGATTTTACCCCAATATTAAAAACCAATATCAAACAATATATTGGAATTGCATTTCCTCTTATTAAATAAGTAATTTTTATTATGTCATAAATTAAATAGTAAAAAATAAAAATATAGAATTTTTTTATAAATTTTATGAAAAAATTTAAACATGTATTAATATTACATATTCTTCATATTAAACAAAAATATATTTGTAAAAAATGAGAATTATTGTTAATAAAAATAGAAATAGCTAAGATACAAAAAAAAACAAATTAATGTATTAACCATAGCCCATTTTCTTGGTTAAACAGGTTAATGGTTCCATCAGTAAGGACCTCATTTGATTATTGACTAAGTTAATTATTATTTTTACAATAAATTAATTTAAGTAAAAACATAAAAAAAATGTATCCAATTAACAAATCAATAAATCCAACTCTATGCTTCAACCCTATGTTAAAAACTTTTGTTGAAATTATAAGAACATTTAAAAGTTTTAAATTAAACAACAATATATACGTTGCCACGTGCAACACGTACACTTTTACTTGTATAAAATAAAAATACATACCCCACGGAACGAAAATATCTAAGTCCTTGCTCCCTCCAAATGCATTGACGAAACCTTTCGGACAACTATATACCCTATTAATATATTTAATTCCAAAACTACCCCGAAAGGCAAAACCCCACAAACCCCCCCTCCCCCTAACACCTTTCCTCTTCTTTCTCGACCTTCTTCTCCAGCGGCGGCACTCGGGCACTGATTATTCTCCGGCTTGGCTGTCCTTCAATCTCAAGCATACTGGCGTATTTAAGTAAGATTTACGCTTACAAGCGACCTTCCTTTTGATGTTTACCGTTCGGAAGTTTCAAGCTTTTTATTTGTTTGTTGCAGAGAGAACCGGGCGGTGTGGTGGCGTGTTTCAGTGGTTTAAACGACAACTGGTATCATCGTCGTTCTCTATTTTCACGTTTGTGCGGTCAAACAACGTTTCAAATTCTTTCTGTTAACTTGCTTTGCTCAATACACCTTTCAGGTTCATCGGTCTAGGAGATTTCTCTGTCTCCACTGCAGCTCGTTCAAGGAAACGTCTCCATAGCAGTTTCTTCACAAAGGTTCGTCTCTCTCCTTCATTATATGGTATTATTGTTTTCGTTGTATATGTTTTTGCATTAGGGAAGATGAGAAATTGTTTGTAGAGGGATTTTGTGATTATGGGTTATTATATATTTTTTTCCATAAAAAAATCGTTATTATGATATTGTTCTTGTGTTTTTTTTTTTATTTGATCAGTTATTAAAATGGCTGCCACTGGGGAGATTACAGCGTCAGAGTTCTTGCTGGTATGACATTATAAAGTTAGGTTCTTTTTAATTTATTTTTGGTGTTTGAACTTTGAAAATGACTTTTCTTTTCTTTTTTTTTTCTGTTTTTTCTCAAACTTTTTGCAGGGTTCACAAAGACAAAGTTTGTTTCTACACAGAAGTTTTCACAAGCAGAAGTGCCGTTTTCTTTGGGGTTCACTTCGCAGTCGAAGCCCTTCACTGGGAATATCAAGTAACTATAGTAAAAGGGCTCTGACTCCTGTAATGCCCAGAGCTGTGGTTTCAGGGACTGTGAACAGTAAAGTAGAAGATGATTCAAGTAAGGTTGACAGTTCTGCAGGGGATGTTATACATTTTTACCGTGTTCCACTGATTCAGGAGAGTGCAACTGCAGAACTTCTCAAGTCAGTCCAGACGAAGATCTCAAGTCAGGTTATTGGGTTGAAAACTGAACAGTGTTTTAATATTGGACTTCACTCAGAACTCTCAAGTGAGAAGCTTGGAGTTCTAAAATGGATTCTTCAAGAGACATATGAACCTGATAATTTGGGGACTGAAAGCTTTCTTAACAAGGAGAGACAGGAGGGCATCTCCACTGTGGTGGTTGAAGTTGGGCCACGACTATCTTTTACAACAGCATGGTCTGCTAATGCTGTCTCAATTTGCCAAGCATGTGGGTTGACTGAGGTAATCCGCATGGAGAGGTCAAGAAGGTACATGTTGTATATTAAGGAAGGAACTGATTCTCTGCAAGAACAACAAATCAATGAGTTTGTTGCCATGGTTCACGATAGGATGACAGAATGTGTCTATCCCCAGAAGCTAACATCTTTCCAAATAAGTGTTGTTCCCGAGGAAGTTCAGTACATTCCAGTCATGGAGAGGGGACGCGAAGCATTGGAAGAGATCAATGAGAAAATGGGATTGGCATTTGATGAACAAGATATACAGTATTACACTAGGCTCTTTAGAGATGACATTAAGCGGAACCCAACAACTGTGGAACTATTTGATATTGCACAGTCTAACAGTGAGCACAGTCGTCACTGGTTTTTCAATGGGAAAATTGTTATTGATGGTCAGCCTATGAATAGGACACTTATGCAGATTGTCAAGAGCACACTACGGGCCAATCCGAGCAACTCTGTCATTGGCTTCAAGGACAACTCCAGTGCAATAAAAGGTTTCCTTGTTAACCAGTTGCGTCCAGCCCAACCTGGTTCAACATCTTTGTTAAGGATGGATAAACGTGAACTTGATATCTTATTTACTGCAGAAACACATAACTTTCCTTGTGCAGTGGCACCTTATCCTGGAGCAGAGACTGGTGCTGGGGGTCGTATAAGGGATACCCATGCTACGGGAAGAGGATCTTTTGTTGTGGCATCTACTGCTGGGTATTGTGTCGGTAATCTTCATATAGAAGGTTCCTATGCTCCCTGGGAGGATCCATCTTTCACATACCCATCAAACTTGGCTTCTCCTTTGCAGATCCTCATTGATTCAAGCAATGGTGCATCAGACTATGGGAACAAGTTTGGAGAACCCTTGATTCAGGGGTACACAAGAACTTTTGGAATGAGACTTCCAAATGGGGAAAGAAGGGAATGGTTAAAACCTATCATGTTCAGTGGAGGAATTGGGCAGATTGATCACATTCATATATCGAAAGGAGATCCAGAGGTTGGGATGCTAGTTGTGAAGATTGGAGGGCCAGCATATCGCATAGGAATGGGAGGTGGTGCAGCTTCAAGCATGGTGAGTGGTCAGAATGATGCAGAGCTGGACTTTAATGCTGTACAGAGAGGGGATGCTGAGATGGCACAGAAGTTATACCGTGTTGTTCGTGCCTGTGTTGAGATGGGGGAGAACAACCCAATTATTAGCATTCATGACCAGGGTGCAGGGGGGAACTGTAATGTTGTTAAGGAAATAATCTATCCAAAGGGTGCAGAGATTGATATTCGGGCAATTGTAGTTGGTGACCACACAATGTCAGTTTTAGAGATATGGGGTGCAGAGTATCAGGAACAGGATGCGATATTAGTAAAGCCTGAAAGCTACCACCTGTTACGATCAATATGTGAAAGAGAAAGGTTGTCAATGGCTGTTATTGGAACAATCAGTGGTGAAGGGCGGATTGTATTAGTTGACAGTGCAGCTGTAGAGCGTTGTCGTTCAAGTGGGCTTCCTTTGCCCCCGCCTGCTGTAGATCTTGAACTTGAGAAAGTGCTTGGTGATATGCCTCAGAAATGCTTTGAGTTCAGTCGAATGGATCAAGCACTGGAGCCACTAGATATTGCCCCTAGCACCATGTTAATGGATTCTCTGAAGAGGGTCTTGAGACTTCCATCAGTGTGCTCAAAGCGCTTCTTAACAACAAAAGTAGATAGGTGTGTAACAGGTCTTGTGGCACAGCAGCAGACAGTTGGTCCTTTGCAACTTACACTTTCTGATGTTGCTGTCATTGCTCAAACATATACAGACCTGACTGGGGGTGCATGTGCAATTGGAGAGCAACCCATCAAGGGTCTGCTAGATCCAAAAGCAATGGCAAGACTAGCTGTTGGAGAAGCACTTACAAATCTAGTTTGGGCCAAGGTTACTTCTCTTTCTGATGTTAAGGCAAGTGGGAATTGGATGTATGCTGCCAAACTTGATGGTGAAGGAGCAGCAATGTATGATGCTGCTACATCTCTTTCAGAAGCAATGATTGAACTGGGTATTGCAATTGATGGAGGAAAAGACAGTCTGTCAATGGCAGCTCACTCATCTGGTGAAGTTGTCAAGGCTCCTGGAAATCTTGTTATTAGTGTTTATGTTACCTGTCCAGACATCACATTGACAGTCACTCCAGACTTGAAACTTGGGGATGAGGGTGTCCTCCTTCACATTGATTTGGCAAAAGGAAAGCGGCGTTTGGGTGGATCTGCTCTTGCTCAGGTATTTGACCAAGTTGGAAATGAGTGCCCAGATCTTGATGATGTCTCTTACCTTAAAAAAGTTTTTGAGGCTGTTCAGGAATTGCTTACAGATGGGCTGGTCTCGGCTGGTCATGATATCAGTGATGGTGGATTGATGGTCTGTGTCCTTGAAATGGCTTTTGCTGGGAATTGTGGTGTCCTTTTGAACTTGACTTCGCAAGGTAAGACTCTCATTCAAGAGCTATTTGCAGAAGAGCTTGGTCTTGTTCTTGAGATTAGCAAGCAGAACTTGGATGCAGTGATGGGAAAACTTAGCAGAGCTGGGATTAGTCCTAAGATCATCGGGCATGTTACAGCTTCTCCTGTTGTCGAACTAAGGGTTGACGATGTAACTCGATTGAAGCAGGAAACATCCTACCTTTGGGACATGTGGGAGGAAACCAGTTTCCATATAGAGGGGTTCCAAAGGCTAGCTTCTTGTGTGCAATCAGAACAAAAGGGTTTGAAAAGTAGGCGCAAACCTATATGGAGGTTATCCTTCACTCCTTCATTTACAGATAAGAAATTGATGGATGCAGCTTTGAAACCAAAAGTGGCCGTGATTCGGGAAGAAGGGAGCAATGGGGACAGAGAAATGTCTGCTGCTTTTTATGCTGCTGGTTTTGAACCCTGGGATGTCACTATGTCAGACCTTCTGAGTGGAGTAGTCTCCCTGCATGATTTCCGTGGGATTGTATTTGTAGGAGGTTTCAGCTATGCAGATGTACTGGACTCTGCAAAAGGTTGGTCAGCCTCCATAAGGTTCAACCAGCCTCTATTGACCCAGTTCCAGGAATTCTATAACAGGCCTGACACGTTCAGCCTTGGGGTTTGTAATGGGTGCCAGCTTATGGCTTTACTGGGATGGGTTCCTGGAGGGCAAGTTGGGGGTGTTCTTGGTGTAGGTGGAGATCCATCTCAGCCGAGGTTCATCCACAATGAATCTGGTAGGTTTGAATGCCGTTTCACAAGTGTGACAATAAGTGAATCACCTGCAATAATGCTTAAAGGAATGGAGGGTAGTACTCTTGGTGTGTGGGCTGCTCATGGTGAGGGAAGGGCGTATTTCCCTGACAGTGTTGTTTTGGATCGTACCCTCCAGTCTAATTTGGCCCCACTAAGATATTGCGATGATGATGGGAAGATAACAGAGGTTTATCCTTTCAACCCAAATGGTTCCCCATTGGGAGTGGCAGCAATTTGCTCGCCAGATGGGCGGCACCTTGCTATGATGCCTCACCCTGAGCGATGCTTCCTGATGTGGCAGTTCCCATGGTATCCAACGGAATGGAATGTGGACAAAAGGGGACCTAGCCCGTGGCTGCGTATGTTTCAAAATGCTAGGGAGTGGTGCTCTTGAGACAGGTTTGCTCTTTTCTGTTGGTCAGGTTTAACTTTTATTATTCTTCTTCCTTCACCAAGTGTTTTTTTTTTCTCCTTTTAATAGTTAATTTAGTTTATCTTTTCTCTGTTGATATTTTGTAGTTCAGGGGAAGGCTCTTGATTTCTGAAATAGAAGGGCTTCTGAAACTTTTAAAGGCAAGTTACTGGAATTTATTCTCCATCTAATGTTTTGTTTCTCAGGATACCTACTCCATTTATTTTTATGTTTTTCATCTGCAGAAATTCTATTTAAATATTGAAGGTCAAAATGCTGATACATCCTGGTTTATTTTTGTTTCTCCTCTGAAATAGGCTCTTGTTTCTTTTAGTGGCTGGAAATCATGTTTATTTTATTCATATTCTCAAAAGACCAAATTCCCTTAATCTGTAACATTTTTTTTTCACCAAAAAGCAGAGTTACTTCGTTATCTGCATGAAATCATTTACATCCATCACCTAAGAGGGTACAAGCATTCTGATATTATACTTCTACAAGTTTTTAATGCTCGACATCTAACAATCACTTAGATTTCCACACGCAATCCAGTTGAGGATTCTGTGTAGCCTGTACCTCCAACATAGCATCAGAATATAACGAAAAGTTGTTGAGCTTTGTTCTCTTAACCTCTAGTAAACCCTCTAGCATAGTTGTCAAGGCGACTAGGTGAGGCTAGGCGACCATGGGGCGTCCAGGCGCCTAGGCGACGCTAGGCGATGAAACCTATAAATATAAAATCTATATTTATACTACAATATGTTTAAGAAGAAGAAAAAGAAGGGGAGAGAATAGGGGCAGAGCCCCTGTTTTTTTGAAAAAAAAAGGAGAAGGAGAAGCAGAAGCAGGGCGGAGTATAGGGATGGAGCCCCTGTTTTTTCGAAGAAAAAAAGAACTGAAGCTGGCTGGAAGAAGAAGAAGAAGAAGCAGCAGCTTACCAACTGAAGCTCGAAGTTGGGCTGGAGATGGAGCTGGAACTAGAAGCCTTCGGTTCTCCTCCCTCTTCAGCCGAGCAAAAACCCTTTCAAGACAACAACTGAACTAAAGAAATGAAAATGAGATGTATTCTATTAGTGTGGCTTAATAATAAAATGTTAACATGTAACCAGTTGTATTTTAGAACAACATAATAGCCAATAAAAATATTAGAATAATAAACATGAAAAAAATATTTCTTAAATTTATTTAGGCGCCCGCCTAAGTCTCTGGGCGGTCGCCTAGTATACAAAACTATAGGTGTTTGGCATAGTTGTCAAGGTGACGCCTAGGCGACAAGGCGCCCTTTGAGGCTCACCTAGCAGTTTTATACTTCCTACTATAAAATACTATTTTATTCATTCTTTTTTGAGATTATAATTATAAAATAGACACTATTAAACTAAAATAATCATTTTGTGTGTTTATATACTAATTTCTTTTTATTATTTTCTTATTTATTAGGGCTTAATCAACACAAACATTGCTAAATGCTGTATTGAACCCTCAAAGACTTAAAAACCTGAACCAATAAGTAAGGAAGAAC